CCCCGAGGCATCCTAGGTGTATATGACTTTCTTCTTTCAGACAAATCCAGTCGGAGTTATATTAAAAATTGTCGCTCTATCATTGCAGTCAGCGGGTGTTGCAGTGATTCAGTCCAAAAGAAGTGAAATTAAAAGTGTCACACGGCTTCGGGGGGTGAACAAAGGCCTCCTGTAGCGAATCAATGCGTTTTTGTAAGAAAAACATCCATATTCAAAACGTAATAATCACTTTAATCTAGCTTGCGCCAGCAGTTGTACACAGAAGCAGTTCCGGGCTGATGAGGTATGAGTTCAGCATTGCGCATGCGCTGGTGAGTCTCGTGAAAACCAACGTTTGTTAACAGGAGCAAAGGAAGCAAAGTTTCCTTACTTTAGCAAAGGAAAACCAGTCTTCGCTTGGCTTATATCGCAATCCTCCGACATTCTTCTTTACAAATCCTCGTTTTGTATTTCTAATAAGTGACCGTTGTTTTGTTTTGATCTCTCCCCTGCACTTCCGCGTGTCTCACTTCTGAGCGGCGCATGCGCAAAGCTGACCTCATATATCATTCCCCCGGAGCTGCTTCCGTGTACAACTGTTGGCACAAGCTAGATTAAAGTGATTATTACATTTTAAATATGGTTATTTTTCTTACAAAAACGCATCGATTCGCTACAGGAGGCCTTTGTTCACCCGCCGGAGCTGTGTGAGACATTTTTTTTTATGGATGGGCGCTTTTTATTTCACTTCTTTTGGACTGAAGCACTGCAACACCCGCTGACTGCAATGATAGAGCTAGGAATAGCCAGGACAATTTTTTATATAACGAAGAAGAAAGTCATATACACCTAGGATGCCTCGGGGTGAGTAAACCACAGACTAATTTTCATTTTTGGGTGAACTAACCCTTAAACCATGAAGTAAATGCAACTTTGGAGCTTTTTAAAATGGACTACATTTTTTAAATCAAACATTCATGTCACATGATACACAACACCAACTGTCTACCTCATGTCTTGCTGTGTACACTACAGTTCAAAGGTTTGGGACTGGTAAGATTTTTTAAAAATGTTTTTAAGTATCTTATGCTCACCAAGGCTGCATTTATTTGATTAAAAATCATCAAAACAGTAATTTTGTGAAATATTATTATAATTTAAAATAACTTAATTTTATTATATATTAAAATGTAATTAACTGCTGTCACGGCAAGCTGAATTTTCAGCAGCCATTACTCCAGTCTTCAGTGTCACACCTTCGAAAATGCTGATTTGGTGACCTTTCAATTCATTTTTTTATGAATTGAAAAGTCAAACGTACAGAATTTATTTGAAATAGAAATCTTAACTTAAATGTCTTTACCGCCACTTTTGATCAATTTTAATGCATCTTTGTTAAAGCATTACTTTCAAAAAAGAAAAAATCTTACTGATGCCAGACTTTTCAACAGTAGTGTACAGTATGTCTAGTAAATTAGTATAGCAATTTTCTGCTACAGGAAATAGAACATTAAAAAAAAAAAATAAACATAACAGTAAAAACAAACAACGGTCTACGCAAATAGAAAACAGATGGTGGCAACAACTGCAATTTTACAATTATGAGATGCAGTAAAATATATCAAAATGTATATAAATATCAGAACAAACACCTTTTACGTTAAAAAAAAAAAATCTGGTCATATGTAACATTTTAAACTTTTTTTTATATTGTGCAAAAACAGAGAAAAAAAAGTGTCAATTGGGACGGAGTATATTATTTACAGCACTGAAAAAATGGGATTGAGTGCCAGTTCATTTTAATATTCTGATGGAACATGACGTCACATATCACTCATACTTTAAACCACAAAAAGAGTTGAACACGTATCCAACCAACCAACATGCACGAACAGGAAAGCTGATTCTTGCACAACTAACTCTTGCACAACTTATTATGTCCTATAGCATTTTTGAAAACACTGCCAAGGTGAATCATGACCGGTTCCAGTTGACAGAGCAAACACAAGATACCCACTCAACACCAGTAAAAACAGAGATGCTGCTGAACTTAATCAGGTCAGCAACTCAACAGCAAGAGTGTCTTGTTCTGGCACACTTAACATTTCATGCCAGTGTGTTTATTTGTATTTGCTTGCACAATAGCTTAGAGCCTCTGTACATTACAGCAGCATGCGAGAGGCCTTAGGCAAGAGTGTTACGCATGAACGGGAACAGACAGTCTTTGGAGCACAGAGTCCTAATGAGATTAGAATCTGAAAATGCTTGTCAGAGGGAGGTCTCGGCCTCTCCGCCAATCGCATGGCAGGATGGGAATTAGCAGGCTCTAGCCAGGGCCCGGGACTAACTAGCAAACTCCTCTGGTCAACAGGAAACAGCTAATTAATGAGGTGAAGCAGAGCTGGGACTGAAAGCCTCATTCCCTCACTGCATGGACGGTTTCAAGTGTCCGCATCCATCATTTATCATTAAAAATGTTGGCCCGGAGTAATTTCAGGCTCTTTATGTTAAAGCTGAATCTCATAAGGGAAAGAAATGCCTTTATGAAACGAGAACCCCTTTGTTAGGCTGCTTTCAATTAAATTCACAAAAATATGGTGGTGCAAGAATACAGATTTTCCATGATTCGTTTGAGACACACAGACAGACACTGAGGTGAACGGCAAGGCACAAAAAGACACAAAGGGGAAGAAAGCACAGCATATAGGGGCAGGATATGACACAGTACTGCCAGCGTACCTCGACCCTCCTTTGCTTCTATGGCTGCTGTATTAGCAAGCGCAGCAGGAAGTAGCCCAAAATGAATGGAGAGAGAAGTTACATCAGTGTGATTACATTACACCCCAAGCATATTAACCCCACACACCACAGCAATATTAGTAGTTAAAGAACCCAACAGTAATATAAACAGTGCAAAGAGCAGTTAAAGAAAAGGCACTTAGTTTTTTACAATCAGTGTGACTGTTTGGCCATTTATAATTCACTGATTGTTCAATACTAGGGCAAAACAGGCTACAAAACTAAATAAATCAAAGGTTATGTATCACTGAAATACATGTTCAGATGTTTTTACATAAATTTAGGTACAATCTCTGACTTGCCTATCAATCAATATTGATTATTACACAAATACTGTATTATAAATACTGACACATACGAGTGAATGAATTGAACATTATTTAATTAAACTGAGACTACAGGATTGGATTCAAACTAATTTATAGCGCCATCTCTTGAATTATCAGCACTTTCAGACAGAAAATCTTAAATGCAGTAGACATTTAATGAAATTAGTTAGCTTAAGATCTCATACAATTTCTTGATAGTTTCGACATAGTCAAGTTGACATATGCATGTGACTCAGTAAATAAGCAAAATTAAAATATTTAATTAAACTATATTTTTGTGTATATTAAACTTAAAAAAAACGAAAACAAACAAAAAAAAACTGTAAATTATTAGTATTATAAAATTACAGAACTAGAACTATAAACTCACCAGAGAATTCAGGAAGAAGGAAAGAGGACCATAAGCATAAAGACTGCCCACAGTCTGCATAAAGCCCACAGTTTTTTTTTTATTTTTATTAAATGTGTTAATAACACATGACTGTCTTTAAATATTTCAACTTGGAAGTATTTTAATCTTAATATTAATTTTAAATGTTAACTTTAATATGTCTCAAGAGGCTGGATGCTAAATATTAAACACTAAATACAGAGATCTTGAACATAAAATATTATTTATATTAAATATATGTGAATTGATCTGATTTGGAGATTTTCTACAGGCAAGAAATTCAGGCAGACACAACTAATTATGCTGTATCGTTTGAATTGAGAGGATGGTAGTCACAAAACCAAACCATCTCCTAATACATTATTTTCTATATAACATAACTTTATGGTTATAACTGGAAATGTCCTAATTTTTATTAAATGTGTTAATAACACATGACTGTCTTTAAATATTTCAACTTGGAAGTATTTTAATCTTAATATTAATTTTAAATGTTAACTTTAATATGTCTCAAGAGGCTGGATGCTAAATATTAAACACTAAATACAGAGATCTTGAACATAAAATATTATTTATATTAAATATATGTGAATTGATCTCTGATTTGGAGATTTTCTACAGGCAAGAAATTCAGGCAGACACAGCTAATCTATGCTGTATCGTTTGAATTGAGAGGATGGTAGTCACAAAACCAAACCATCTCCTAATACATTATTTTCTATATAACATAACTTTATGGTTATAACTGGAAATGTCCTATTGTCCTAAGGTCTTGTAGTAAGATCAGGCTAACAGCTTCTTAGTTTCTTTAATATTCCTCTCTGTTCTGCAGGTCTAGCTGGCTTGATGTCTGACCCACACGGACAACGAAGCCAGCCTCTTAAAGGTCACAGAATTTTCTATATGTACTTCAAATAGTGACATCCACCCACTGTCTCCCTCTGATTTCCCTTTCTCACTCCATCACTACTCACTTGCACAAAGTTCCCTACGCTACTGGCCTTTAATGACCTTTAGTCCTGGACACCTCGCCTACTCAGAGCAGACAGGTCAATCCAGAGAGTCATGATGCGGCTCTCATGGCAATCAGCCTCTGATTGGCTCTCAAGATTTCTCAGAGTCTCTGTAGCGCAGGTGGCTAAATCACATGGCTTAACATGAGCCTACAAGGGAAGGGCTTTACACAGCACATCGGCAAATAATCAGTGTAAACATTACATTAGTTCATAGGTGGACAACAGGATATAACAGGTGTTCATATAGTGCAGAAAAAAGCTCTACAGTGATGTTTGAATAATTGTGATAATACACAATTGAATTGAGACACTATTTTCCTGAATAAACCACATTTCAAGATTGAAATGGGTAATGGCTGCTGAAAATTCAGCTTTGCCATCAAAGGAATAAACTACATTATTGCAATAAAAAAATGTTTTAATAATATTTCCCAGTAGGCTTTGAAGAGCATATATATATATATATATATATTTATTTATTTATATATAATTTACCAATCCTAAAAGTAGTTTCCTTTTCTTTGTATAAAACATTGATTTTAGGATGATTTTTGACCCAGACAGTTTCATGAGATTTACCTGTTTAAAAGACCAGAAATATGGATCTGAGCGGCTGGGGGTGTGGGCAGTGATTTTGCAGCTAGTACCAGAAAGTTGCTAATAAGTGAATTAAGCAGCCTGATACAGCCCAGAAAAGATCACACTATGGAGATGGAGAGCACAGCTCTCATCAGTATCTGCCGCTATGCTGATGCAGTTCAGCACAAAGGGGAGAGACAGATCATCATTATCATTAGCATCTCGCATGCCAAAGCTCGTTCTAGGCTGCTGCATGTTGGTACTTTCTAGTTTTGTAAGAGGGTTATGAGAGCAGTACAGGGTCACATGTGGCGATGATGATCCAGTACGACTTCCAGGTTGGATGAGAGAGGCCTGCAAACCCACTTTACAAACCTACTATTACAAAACCCCAAACATGCTCACTTACCATGCTGTAAGGTCTGCTTGCCTCCAGACAACACTCCTAGAGGTAGTGTTCCAGTTGGGGTGAGCCCTTTGAGGGTCAGTACACTCTCGCTCTCTTCCCTGAGGTATAACACACACACACACACACACACACACACAGTATTAGAGTTGTGTTCAAAGAACTAAATGGAACATAATCAATTAGGTTGGGGTGAGGGAGAAAGAGGAAATATATGGTAATTCGAAAACCAAAGACAAAAGACTTCAAGCTGTCCTCTGTTCCTCCATTATCTATGGCATTGTTCATCTGGAATAATGTCTAATATAATTAGGCCGTTATTTCACATGATGACTCACTGAAGACGAAGTCACCAAACTACGCCTTTGTCTCTTCGTTTATTTTGAATACGCGCCCTTTTACGGCGAAAATTACATATTGTGCCTTTAAAACAAAACTTCATTGTACATGGAAGTTTTTCCTGCTCTTTACACACATTTTTTTTTCTTTCTTTTTGATAACTTTAATGATAATTACCAAGACAAGCAAGGGTTTACAGATCACAATGCAAGTGGGAGAAGCCCCATTTTGGTCGTCACGATCGCAGATGACAACATCCAGGATTCATGTACCGCAGGGTAAGATTAAGTTAATTTACATTTAACCCGTTTAATATGGAGAGGCACTGAAATGTAGACCTTCATTTATGTGTTTTTGACCTACCTTGTGACAGAAATATATTACTAGTAATAATGATGAGGACAATAATAATTAATAGTAAGTAAGTTGCTTTGGATACCATTTTCTGCTAAATGCATACATGTAATAATAAAAAATAATATTACCACTATTATTAACTATTATTCAATAATATTTATTATTATTTTAGCTTTTATTCGTTAGAAAACTAAATGAAATATTCCAAACATGGGGAAATGCTGTCGTCTCCACCTTTTCTAAAACCCATAATGTTGCATTATTAGATTTGTACAATAACTTGTATTGGTCTAAACGGTTTGGAATTACTCAAGTGAGAAAACAGGTGAGCTTGGAGAGCATTTTGTAAGCCTTGCGTGGGCTTGGGAGTATTTGCAGAAGAGTGTCACACCTTTGCTCTAATTATTTAAGCAGATCTGTTTCTGGGTACAATAATTACACAAGGTGAAAACCACAATCCTACATAGTCTATGCATTAAATGTAAAAATACATTAAAATAGAAAACGGTTACTTTAAATTGTAATAATATTTCACAATACAACTGTTTTTATAAAAGAGTGCACCATCATGTGAATTCAGACTGTCTAAGCAGGAAGTATCAAGCAGACATCAGACCTCCAGGGAAAGCATCTTAGACAGCCAGAATGACAGTTGGACACTTCTGAGGACCTGCTGTCTACGCTGATGATGACCAGACAGACAGATGCTCACACACACACACACACACACACACTCACTCACTCACTCAGCAAGCACATTCAAGCTGTTCTGCATGAAATTGTCACTGAACGTGAAGCAAGAGGAAATCAGCACATAAGGTAGCAGTTAGCTTACCAAACTTTAATTAATTTTAATTGAATTATACATGTGTGTGTGTGTGAACAACCTTACCTTCACATAAGTCGTCTCCCTCTGACATGAGTTCATCATCAGAGCAGATGTTTAAGACATTCACCAACATCTCAGTCACTGTAACAAAAAAACAAAACATTCTTGTTAGATCTGCAATATAAGCTGACATTTTACAAGACATTGTCCATGCAGTTCTTTATCAAAGTGGTCAATTGTTCCTAGAGCTTCTTTTTAAAATACCATTCTAAGTTCTATAACAAAATATGCGTGGCTTACAGTCATGTACACTTAAATAAAAAAGATGGAAAGGCTCAGGAAGTTTCAGATGATTTTGTAAAAGGTGCCCTTGAACACACTTGCACAAATATGTCATTTCAGGTTTGAGTTTTTCTGTGTTCTTCCCACTGAGAGGACACAGTCAGCCACCAAAACACGTAATCAACAAGGTCGCTATTGCCTCTCCTCCGCATAGCCTGTCAAACACTACTAACCATCTCGGTCTCACAGTCCCTAAAAATCACAATCCTGGCTTCAGGTCTGAGTTTGGATACCTACCTTTCTCGCCCACAAAGGGCAGCGACCACGTAAACACATCCATAAAGTTGGGTAACCAGTACGGGTGAGGAGAGCAGTTGAACTGCCTAATGTTCATGACATTGTTTTCATATTTCAATACAGCCGCTGAGGAGGAAAACATGGGGAGAAGTCATGCACAATCATGAAAACCAACAGAAAACAAAGGAAAAGCAACCTGATAGGCTGCCACACAGGTTCACGAACAGTCATCTAATACTTTGACTTTCTAGATTTCTAGACACTTTAGAGTCAGTATATGGCAACAATTACCGCAGAGTTGCAGTGTATATTTTTTCTTTGCACTGCTGGCAAGTGTTACATTATCCTTCAGCGATCACAGTCCAACAATAAATATATGAAATCAGCGGTCACAGTTCAACAATAAATATATGAAATCAGAAGTTTATCATAAATTATTTACATATATAAAGAAAAACTAGTTTTTATTAGCTGAGAATAAGTTGATTGTGCATTCAATGACATCTCTCGCAATGGTTTATCAAAGGTGCTACGATTTAAGTTTCCACAGTAATAACGACATTGGGGTTTTGAGGGTCTGAGAACAGTTTGAGGTTATGAAAAGCACCTTTGGTTTAAAAAAAAAAAAGTTTGAGAACACCTCCACAAAATATATGGCCAACATACTTTAACATAAACTAACATACCTTTGTTGTTATAGACATCTAGGTAATTTGGTGCTGAGAAAATGGTAATTAATGAAGGGAAGCCTGTTGTCTGACTTTTTCTGTACATCCTGTACCTGAAACAGAAACACACACAAACCTCTTAAGTTGTAGATTAGCTCAGTGTGGCAAAAAGGCATCTAGTGTAGACTAATCCAGGAAGTGCTCTCAGTCATTGTTAGATAATGTACTCTTGTCAAATTCAGTGAATAATGGTCCAATGGTCCAATGATCCACTGTTGCAGATGGCCTATATAATTTTTTAACTGGTAGACACAAAAGGACTACATCGACATCACAAGATTAAACTAGCAAAAACTCAAATTTTCACAGAAAACACTAACTTTTTCAATCCCACGTTCATGAAACATCATAATACTTACCCTGCGTCCTGTGCTTCATGTGCTCTAATTACTGACAACAGGTTATTGTTTGTCAGAAAGTCACAGACTGCTGCATAACTGTCAAACAAGAGAAAGACAAAGTTCTGAGGGTCTCATAATGAAAGACCACAAGCAAGTTTTCAGCCCTTTAAACATCTCAACCCCTCTTGCTCATACTGAATGAAGCACGGGCCAATGGACTGGATGATTCTGAATACAGCTTTTTGGGGTTCTCTTCAAGTCCACTCGGCCTCAACACAGTGAACTCTCAAGCTAATAGCCCACCACCTGCACTTTGTTAGCATTCAGCTGGCGTGGTACAAACAAATGCCAGCTGGACAAGCAAACAGTGAATAAACGCTTATATATATAGGCCTACACCCAGAATGAAACCAGCTGGGTGACACCGATCAGGTTATTTCCAGGAGTCGGCACAAATCAGACAGAATTTCCGCACCGACTCACAGATTCCTGAATGACTCAGTTACACGTTTATGAGCAAGTACAAAGAATCTGGTCAAAGAAAAATGTTTTACAACAATATTCCAAGCAGCTTTTTCCCCCAATTCGCAACATAAGTGCTTGAGTTTTTTTTATAGTAGTAAAAAATAAATTAAAAAAGTAATTGATTACTCATGTAAACGTTACAGAACTAATAATTTAACTATTATACAGAACTATTATAGTTTCAAAATAAGCTATATTGAACCCATGCTTTTTATTTGCATAAATTACAACAATATGTATTAAAGTATCTGAAAATATCATGATTTAAAAATAAACAACAAAAAGTATAAACATAAAATAACCAAATCACCCCCAGACTGTACATAGCCATTCCATATACTTTAGTCACTTTTATGTCCTAGGGGTTGATTTGCATTACAAACTTCTATTTTGTTTTTGTTATATGAAGAAGAACTAAGCTTTTTTTTTTATTATTATTATGCCTTCAATATTTATTTTTCATACTTTTCAATTGTCTTAAGTATAGAAAAAAAGGGAATATACAAAATGTATCATGAAACAGTAATTATTATAAGTATAATTATGAAGTATATAAATCTGTAATTTTCTCAAAAATCTGAGAGATCTAACCCAATGAACAAAGCTCAGCTCCAGTACCTGTAGAAATAGGAGCATCCTCTGACTGAGTTGTGGTTAAAATGCTCTACCGTCTTCTCACTGCCATAGTCCTCTCCCGGGTCGGCCCAGATCAAATCACACATAGGCCCAAATGCCGGGGGCTCCTTAAACCTGTCTAACTGCAAAACACAGCGTACAGACAAAGAAAGAAAGAGGCATGAACACATCTTGTTTTCTTATAAAAAAGGCTGTAAGGAAAAGGACAGAACATAAACAGCTGCTTACTTTCCTAATGTCATCTAAGCAGTTGATTTCTGGTGAGAGGCCACCATGTACACAGAGGAACTGCTGGTTTAGAAGAGCTGCAAGAGGCAAGCAGTCAAAGGCCTCCATACATGCGTCATAAACCCTCTCTGAATACTTTATTTTACCTGTAAGGAAACAAAGACAGACAGACAAGTATGACTATATTAGAGTTCAGAGAACTGAAGTCAAGAAAACCCCAGAGAGACCAATTTCTCCTTCCCTCAGTGCATCGCTGAAGATCAGATATGATTCACTGAGCTGCACAGTTGCATTAATTTCATTAAATAAATAATAATAATTAGGGATGCACCGATATGAAAATTTTGGCCGATACCGATAACCGATTATTCTTTATTTTTGAAAGCCGATAACCGATATGTTGGCCGATAAATCTATATCCAAATTGTTATATACTTTTTGAGAGCCTGATTACAAAAACACCGCTTGAACTTGAAGCAATCAATAACTCAAACCTTTCAACAACATATTACATTGTCATTTATATGGGAAGCATGTCACTCATTCGGTAACATTTTTATCATAGGCTGACCTTGACATTTGAACAAACAATTGATGAAAGAAAAACAGATAAAGATCATAGGTTATTTATGATAGGTGGGACATATCTCCACCACTTTTTGCCATGGCCGATTTTGTCCCAACCACTTTATGAAATAACCTACAATAAGGAAGCGTCTAAATACATCTAATTAAAAGTGTGAATATTTGAGTTGAAAGTTCAATTCACTGGTTTTGGATTCAGTACAAAAGCAAAACGATTCAATTTGATTTCCACACACTATTCAATTCAAACAAATGTATTTTTAAATTATTTTAAGAATTCTTTAACAAAAAGTCTCTTGTGCTCACAAAGGCTATTAATTTGAAAATATAGTAAAAATACAGTAAAACAGGAACACTATGAAATATTTTTACAATTTAAAACAACGGTTTTCTATTTTAATATATTTGAAAATGTCATTTATTCCTGTGACAGCTCAATAAACATTTCTTATTTTTAAATAATGTTGAAAACAGCTGCTGCTTAATATTTTTGTGGAAACCATGATTTATTTATATTTTTTTCAGAATTCTATGATGATCATAAAGTTCAAAAGAACTGCATTTATTTGAAAAAGACATGTTTTGTAACATCATACATTTTTGATCTAATTGATCCTTGCTCAAAATAAAAATGTATTTCTTTAAAAAACATCTTACTGCCCCCAACCTCTGAACAGTACCTGGAATACAAAAAAACAAAACATTTTTTACTTTAAAACGTATTCCAGTATACTGCTTACGAAAAATTTATGTTATTGATTAATTTATCAAAGCAACTCCATGTGCTGCTGAAATGGGTGTTTAAATGAGTTTTGCACATTTCTCAATTTTATTATTTACAATTCAGTTTTGACTTGGAAATAAGCGTATATTGAAGGTGTGAACACAGACCTGATCTTTAAATCGGTACATACAATATCAAAGTCAATACAAAGTTATCATTATCAAGACAATGTTAAATTACTTGTGCATAATAATATTCCATGATGTCACAACCAGCATGTCTGCATGCAGTCACACAGTAATAACTACACCTAAAGCGACAAATCCTGCCACCCAGCAGACACAAAAGAAGCAGGGACTATTCAATAAAATCCAAATGAGCCTAATTAGTGCAATGCGAATCCTTAATTCAGCTGCTGAATAAGCTTATTAATACTTCAGTATCTGGACTGAAGTAGTCTCATTAGTCTTGTCTTCTGGTTTCCACTGAATGCAGCTGGGTTATTCAATAAACCGTATTACACATTCGCTCCTCGAACAAGGTCTCATGGAGAGCACTTGGGCTTCCACTGAACATTCAGCCATGAAACCACCTCCATCTTTGTTATGCAGAGCACAATAGCAATGCTATTATATGAGCTTAAGAGCAAACAGTGTTCATTTCAAGCACAACAGAGTAGTGCCACTGACTCATACAAAACCAAAATCAGGGATTTAATCAGACCTTCAAAAGAACCTTCATTTTTATTTCATTAGGATTTTACCAAGAAGCAAAAGTATAATACACTATAGCATAATATAATATGAACTGCTATTATATTAATATAAAACACATGGCTGGCATAACCTTGTGAAAAAAAAGCATTGAATGTGCTTCTGGTAGAGAATTTTAGAGGTATATATATATATATACACACATTTACTTGCAGATAATATATTAATGAAATCAAATTTAAATGATTGTTTTGATAATCTTAAAATATCATGTTTTAATAGTCTCATATAATTTTATAACTGTGCGCTTTGCAAAACTACATTTAAAATTTTAAAAATGTAAGTAAATATATTTTAAATGAACTTAAATATGACATCCAAGTTTAGAACAGATATTAAAGGATATTTTAGTTTGCCACAAATGCTTCAGTACATTGAACACTTAAAAAATAAAATAAAAACAGAAGCAATCATGAAATGTAATAGAAATATTAACTTAAGTCTTAGATGGGTCAAAATAAGCACTTTAATGCCCATCTAACTGCATCTAATATACTGTATATTTAAACTATAATACATTTGAATTTGATTGCAGTTATGCATGTGAAAGCATCAAAGCATTCAATTTGCACTTATAACAGGGCTCCAGACAAAAAAAATTAAAATCAATTAAGGAGCCAGATTATTTTTTAAATGCCACAGAATAAACATGTTTTATTAACTTTTTTTAACACTTTAACATTTCAGTCATACTGTCATGTGTTTATGTCTCATGTTTTCTAGTCTTTATCAGCATTTTAACTAGGGCTGTGCGATTAATCAAAATCGTCATAAAATTGCGATTTGAGCTTGCGCGATTTCTAAATTGCTTTATAGCACGATTTTCCGCACCCCGACCTCCCCGCAGTATGCTATCCGAACCAATCAGAATGCAGCGCGCCTAAATGGAGCACGAGAAAAGAACAGACCTCTATGACGGGCATACAAACGTAACGGCAGGTTCACACTCCGTCTGTGGTGCATATTTTTTCCACACCCATGTTAACAGATCAGAGTGTTCACACTGCATGTGATTGCGCTCCGGCAGTGCGCTCCAGGAGCGGTGCGTCTGCAGCAGTCATGCTGCGATCGTTTCCGCACGGAGTCTATTTCTACTGTGCTGCACACGCTGAAAGTGACAGCGCATTATTCGCAGTAAAAAATAACATGGATTGGCACAGAAATTTCTGCTTCTGCACCGCATACACATACTGTATATGCACTGCAGACGGAGTACGTGTGAACTTGGCACAACAAATCTAGTTCAACAATTGAGGCAACGCCACAAAGAGCTCTATGACCAATGCATGGCAAAAAAAATCCCTGGGCAGGTGATTTTTATTTTTTCTGCCATATGTTTATTCTAGAGACATGTTGTTACACCTTTACTTAGTGATTATTTTGCCTTATGTCTGTTCTAGAGACATGTTACAGCTTTTTGATAAAGCTCTAATTGGTTTTCTTTTGGAAATATGTGTCAAATTCACACTGAATGCATTCATGACTGTAAAGCATGTCTGTGTGTGTCAAAACCGTGATTAAAATCGAAATCGCAAAACTGATCAAAGAAATCGCGATAGGTTTTTTTTGTCCATATCGCACAGCCCTAATTTTAACCCATCTTGTAGATGTCCTGGGAACTAAGGCTCACTTAAAGTGGGAACTAAACGCCTTTTCCAACATGAGAACTATATACAATCACAAAGAATTGTTTATTATACAAAATCTGTGCCAATATCATGGACCATAACTATATCAGCATCACTTGGTGTAGATTGGGCTCCTCCTCAATGCATCCTATAAATGTTGTCATATGTCTTGCACACATCCAGTCTGTTTTTCTTTATTAGTAACATGCAATTATATAGGAGGTGTTGAATTTTATCTTTAGCTCCTTGCATTCTTTCTTATCATGTCGACAACAGGTTAATTACAAATATGAACATGCAATATAGCGCATACATTTACTCCTATTTATAGTTATATTTTTTCTAGCTGACTGATGAGCTTATGAACGCCGAATGGTTATTCTGAGGTAAATGATTGTTTGTGGCATTGTTTACAAGTTTTACTTGTTTTTTTTTTTGCAGTTTGAAACACTGAATGAGCGATTACATGAGAAATTTCAGTAAGTTGTACTGTAGGCTTACTTATAATATATCTGTTGATGTCCATTCATGTTTAGCGCTTGAACTGTGATAAAGCAATCGCTCATGCCGCATTAAGGAGCGCCAAAACAGTATGCATTGCTTGAATTTCATTATTTACTTGGCTGAATTTTAAGTCTGCTACATTACTTATTAAAAGGTAACAGAGCACAAAGCTTATTGTGATTATTGACGGCAAGTGCGCTACAAATAATATAAAGTTCACAAACACAACACAACATATAGACTAAAGATTTTGATAACAAGAAGCCATTTTAGTATCGATTATAAACGAGAACGGTTAACGATATTGCTAATATCCACACAGCTGACAGCTTTACCTGTTGTTAAAAAAAAAAAAAAATCATTTTCATATTTGATAAAAAACTGTAACATTTTCCCCAGGAGAAACCTTTTAAAAATATATTTATTAGTGTAATTTCTGAGTAAAAACAATGTCTAATATCATTTATAGCAGGACACTTTAATAAAATTTGATTTTTGTAAGTCTTCCTTTATTGTAAAACAAAGGCAATTGTTCTATTGCATGTAAAGGCAATCTGACTGTTTTCAATGCCCAATGGCAAGATTACGGCACAATCACTGTCCTTTCACTGTTTGGTGCTCAACAGATGGCCAACTGGGTGCATGAGGGACTGCAAAACTGGGAGCGATTGCTCACATGGTAATTATTCCCAATGACACATTATTCTAAACAACAGGTTTGTTTGGTTCATTTATACATCTAAAATTCATACTAAAGTATAGAATGTCCTTGGCAGCAAACAACAAAAAAAACCTTGGCAATACACTAATCGTTTGAGTGAGATGCCTGATCTTCTGTACAGTACAGAGTACACGCACACACTCTTTTCAGCCTCATTAAAATCCATTTATCTTAATCCCCCCACCCCCTTCCTTTTCATTTGCATGCAAAATCCCAGACACCACTCAATGTGGGGAGAACAGGAC